TTCCAGGCTCCCCGGAAAGAGTCCAAGACACTAATTGGAGGTGGCTTTGTTCTACCATAGGATGAGGTAGCCCCTGAGGGTCCTCCAGGAAATTGGGCAATGACGGCAGAAGGAGAGGATGTCGGCAGGAGAGGTTTAGAAGGTCTGGAAACCATGCTTGGCCCTGTCATAGTGGGGAAAAGTACAAGCGTGACTAGTTTTCTGCGAATCTGGAGAAGGACTCTCGGGATCATTGCAAATAGTGGGAAGGCATAGGAAGGCATCCACTGCCGAGTACTCTGGGTCTGGTAGCCAGCTGAAAAACTGTGGGACTTGAAAGTTCGTTTGGGAGGCGAACAGGTCCAGCACAAACGGGCCCCTGTGTTTTGAGATGCAAAGGAAAACTGATCTGTGCAGGCGCAAATCGCTGCTGTCTCTCCAATGTCAGGAGAACCAATCCGTTGTGATGTTCATCTCTCCTGGAAGGTATTCCGCTCGAAGCGTGATGTTGCGTTGAAAACATAAATTGTAGATGTCTTTCGTCACTTCTGAAAATGTGTGAGACCTGGCCCTGCCCAATCTGTGGATATATTAGACGGCTGAGATATTGTCCATCCGAAGGAGAATGCAGCAGTCCGAGAGGTGATTGGCCAGACTATGGATTACGAATGAGCCTGCGAATAATTCCAGACAATTGATGTGTAATGAATGTTCTGCGGTTGTCCAGGGTCCCCCAGTGGAGGTCGTATGACAAGTTACTCCCTAGCCTCGAAGGCTCACATCTGATTCTACTACAAAGTCTGGAGTGGGGTCGAAAATTGGTTTGCCATTCCAAGCAGACATGTGGAGGAGCCACCAACGGAGTTCCTCCCTTACTTCGGTGGTAATAGGTACCCTCTGGTCGGACGACGAGTGGGCTCGGAAAAATTTAGCTTTCAGGCATTGCATGGCCCGGGTAGATTGCCTGGATGGGAGCGGAGAGGAGGCCCACGATCCGAGCTAAACTTCTGTGAGGTATATCCACCTGTCGAAGAGTCTTGCATAAATCTTTCCGGATCGCCAATAGTTTGTATTGAGGCAGGCAGAGAACACAGGTTGAAGAGTCGATCTTGAAGCTGAGGAACTGGACCATTTGGGATGGGGAAAGTGACGGCTTCTCCTGGTTGAGAACGAACCCTAAGGATTCGAGCAATGAGGATGTGTAGTTCGTCTGAAATCACAGTCTGGATGTGTCTTCGCAAAGTAGTAAGAGATCATCAAAGTAGATTAGGCAGCGTATGCCCCTGGCTCGAAGATGTGCAGTAACCAGCTTGAGCAGTTTGGTGAAGCACCACGGTGTGGAACTGAGACCGAATGGTAGGCAGGTGAACTGGAAGGTCTGGTGGTTCCAAAGGAAGCGGAGGAAGTGTCGAGTGGCCGGGTGTACTGACACAGAGAGGTATGTGTCATTGAGGTCGAGTCGGGTGAACCAATCGCCTGGCCAAAGTATGTCTCGGAGGAGATGTATACCTTCCATTTTGAAATGCCTACACACCATGAAGGTATTCAGTTGGTGGAGGTTGATGACGGGGCAGAGTTCCCCTGACTTCTTCCGGGCCAGGAAGATAGAACTGAGAAAGTTGATTGATAGTTGATTGATAGTTCGGGAAGAATGGTGATGTGTAGGGTCGCTGGCGTTGACCTGTGGCCCAGAAATGGCTGGCTGTACGACCCCTTGTACGGCCAGCCCTGCCAAAAACCCGAGAGGGTTGTTGATGAAACACTCTTTTTATGGAAGACTGCGCCTTGTTCAGTGTGGCGTATAGATTTACATGTGTGTGTAATTCTTTAATATATAGGGTTCTTCAAATAGCAGACCCTTGGCTTTGGGGCCTAATTCTTTGGCTCCCAAGTCAGACAGTTTGGTGTCCATGCGCAGCAGCACTGCTTTCCTACGGTCTGTACAGATGGATGTATTTGCATTGGGCATTGAGTTTTATACCCTGTTACTTTTTTCTGATTGGTTATCTTGTTACAATGTTAAAAAGTGTTGTTGTGAAGCTTAAGTAAAGAAAGACTTAAGCAAAATTTGCATTGCCCAGCAGGCATATGGAGTGTAGTGCCCATCCTCTGATTACAGATGGGTCCAATGGTCCCTCTAGAGAGAGGGCGTCATCAGCCAGTAAAAGACTTAAGCAAAATTTGCATTGCCCAGCTGGCATATGGAGTGTAGTGCCCATCCTCTGATTACAGATGGGTCCAATGGTCCCTCTAGAGAGAGGGCGTCATCAGCCAGTAAAATAATTTTTTCAAGGGGGCCCCAGGATAGCCAGCATTTCATCCTGGGTGAGGCGTAAGCTGCGTTTAATGCCCTTTTTATGGTCACGGCCAGTTCTGGCTAGGTATGTGTAAAGCAGCGTGTCAATTCTGGGGTCATAGCAACCTTGTCCGGTAGGGTAGGCTTTCAACATTCTGCCCTTGGGCGTTTGCGGACCTCCCGATCCAGGGGTCTGCTAATCCAGAAGTTGATATACTGGGAGAGATGGTCTGGAAGAGACCATTCCGATGATCAAGGGTATCTGATATGCCGAGGGTCAAATAGTGGTTGACCAAGTGTATCTAGAAAGGATTCAGCCTCCCCTGCTGGTGTTGATCCAGGAACCATATCCTCCAGTGTGAGGTCACTAATAGTATCTTGAGGAAAAGGTGCTCCCCCGAAGAATGGTAGGTGGTCGGCTTGCCATTCATCTAGAATGGCTAAGGGATGTAGGGCAAAAGCCTCTTCCGACAGAGTAGGCTGGACAGAGTGTTTCTCTCTAGTGTCCGCCTGTCTGGGGCATTTTGACAGTTCTTTACCCTTCAGTTTGAGTGGTTCTGGCACATCCCCTTTCCAATAGCGTTTATGGGGTTCGGAGAGATTCTGTCTTGAGGAATTGGAATCCTCTGATTCTTCAGCAAAAAGCGAGGGATCAGAGATTTTGTGTTCCTTGGGCTCTAAGGGCAGCGCCCAAGCCAGAGCCTTTTTTTAAGTAAAGTGGTGACAGCCGCGTTTATGAGAGCTTGCAAATTTTGATCCTGGTATGTGGCCTCCATAGTAATAGTATTGGCACCTATGGGGCAGAACAGGCCGGTAATAGAATGTATATCAAGGCCGTATTATATATAGAATAATATATTTTAAATCCAAAGTGCAAGCTTAAGCTGGGGTTCATCCAGTATAAATAACCTCCGGGTGTGTATATATATAACTGTTTATACCCGTGAAGAGATATGGTGTCTCAGACAAAGCGGGCCAATCATGGGCTGTATATCATAACAGGAATCATAAATAATACTTAGGGGTTCCCTTTTATAAATTCACAGTGGAATGTGATTAATATAATAGGCTGATAAATATCATATGAGATAAGGGGGAAATACCCCAATGCAATTATAGATAGGAATTTGGTGTGGGGCTCATCCCAATAATGACAGTTTTGATAGTTGTTTTAAATGAATTCAATGGCATAAAGATTTTTTATGTAGTATCTTCGAATCACCACCAGGAGGAGTCAGCACAGCACAACAATGACAGTAGCAGACATTACAGTATATATATCACCTTAGGTGAGGAAGGAGTGGAACCCACTTAGGAAGTGTGGGATCCACTGGTCTGCATCAATAGTGTCTGAAATGCAAATAGGGAATAGTTAGTAGTATCTTTTAATTTATAATTAGTGCCGCGACGAGGAGCGGTACACCAAGATGGCCGCTGCACAGCCAGTATGAGCGCAGGTCGCGGCTCCAAGAAAATGGCCGCCGCGACCTCGCACATGCGCACAAGAGGAACAAATGGCCGTTTGGATCTCGCGGCAGTGCACGAGATCCAAGATGGCCGCCATGCCCACTAAGGGTCGTCAAAGGCGTTCTCCACGGCCCAGAAAGCCCTGGAAAAACGGGGCAGAGATTGCCGACCGCAACCCAGGCTAAATGAGGCAAAAGAAAGTAAAGTAAAAAACAGAGAAAGAATAGAAATATGGAAAATAAAAGAATAAAACGATATAAAAAAGGATATATTAATTAGCAGGAGATATAGGAAAAATAAGCTGAAGAGACATTTAGCAAATTTTTCAATTAAAATAGTTAAATCCCAGCAGACATATGCCACAATAATATTATCAAAAGTATGGGAGAAACAGATAAAAGAAATAAATAAATAAACCACAGGAACCCACAGAGAGTAGGAGACAGTGGCACTCTGACCTATACTGATGTGAAGCAGCAAAGAAAGAGGAAGTGACATCACTGGGAGGGAGTTTTATACCCTGTTACTTTTTTTCTGATTGGTTACCTTGTTACTATGTTAAAAAGTGATGCTGTGAAGCTTAAATAAAGAAAGACTTAAGCAAAATACGAAGCCTCCTGTCATGTTATAAAATTAGTAATCACAGCATGACAAATTTTTAAAAGTTTTAACTTTGAAACCGTAATTTCCTCCTCACAGTATTTGTTTTATAACTTATAAAACTTAGCTGAAATCCTAGACATATTGGCCATTTTAATTACGCAATCAGGATTAATTAGTAAATCTATTTTGACTTTGTTTTCTTTGTAGAAATTATTATATCAAATATTTTTTATTAATGATTTAAAATAATATATCAGGTAGTGTGGCTAACTGCCGAGCAGAATAGATGTCTGATTCCTAGCTCTGGCACATGAGGCTCAAAATCCGCTTCAATCCCCACCTTATGGACCCAATCCATAAACCTCCTTCGATATGGCTATGCACAAGAACAAGAAGTATGCTGCTACTGCAGAAAAGATAATTTTTGGGGGCCAGAAACCAACAATTGAGCACCAAGAAGCATGGGCATTCCTCATAGATGGAGGCAATTGAACTGAAGAGGAAACCTCCAGGCCGACTATGGAGGACTTAGCTGGTTCTGACGGAATTACTAAGATCTACCTGTTACAGGCATTGGATGCATTCTCTCAGAAGCTAATAACCACATGGCAGCCCTCCATGGATTCCCTAAGGAACTGGGCAAAGAACGTCGCACATGGAATTTAAAATGGATGACTTTGCCTCCGCACACAACGATCTTGCTAGCCATGTGGAACAACTGGAGCAAAAGTTGGATGCCACTGAAACAAAACTGGAGGGCCTAGAGGACAGGTCCCGCCCCAACAACTTGCGGTTAAGAGGGATTCCGGAGATTGTACTCCCAGCAGACTTGCAGGCCTATGGCCTCCTACATGCTTACGCACCTGAAATACTGGCAGACATGCTGTTGGTGGATCAAGTTCACTGGATCCCGCACCCATGGTTCCTGCCTAACACTGCACCAAGAGCATCAAAGAGCAGCCGCAACAAGCCCAAATCACCAGAAAATTACTTGACAGTCAAGATTTTCGCCGATCCCAAGTTGCTGACTCACTTTGGGTGAATAGCATAAGATTCAGATGGGAATATCCAACAAAAATGCTGGTCACGAGAGATAGAAGACTGTCATCACCTCACCAGAGGACTGCCTCTGCAAGCTGAAGTCTTGGGGCTTATCTGAACAACATCCAGAACCTTGCACCTCACCTTCGGGGAGATTGAGACTGGACTTAGGGCCGGCGCTATCAAAAGGCGGCCCAGGCAGCCGCCTTAGGGCTCACCAGCCCTGGGGGCGCAATGTCAGGCTGTCTGCTGCACTGCTCTCCCCTCCAGCCGGTTACTACTTGTAGAGTGGCCGAGCACAGCCCAGAGCTTTCCACCCATGGAGCCCAGCCTCCTAGCCTGGTGTCTGCCGCATTCTGTGTGGAGGGGGCAGGGATAAGAATGAAATCATATCCCTGCTCCCTGTGTAACACACAGCGCGGCTGGCACCCTGTGATGAGGCTGGGTTGCAGGATAGGACTCCACAGAGCTGGACAGCATGCACCCCAGGTACCTGTCTGTACAGTAGGTATTTCTGTGTGTGTATGTCTCTGTATGTATGTATATATATATCTCTGTATGAATGTATGTCTCTATATGTATGTATGTATGTATGTATGTATTATTATTATAATTATGTTATTATTTAGAGCAGACATTAGGCTGTTAGTGTAGGACCTGCCAAAGATGGGGTACATTGACGTTGTGGCAGGCTTATGCACTGTATGATCATATAATGTAACTAAACCCCCATTATTTTTGACTAGATTAGTTGTTTTAAAAAAAACAAGTAAAATCTTTCAACATTGAAGTTGCTGTTTAGTGGATAGGTGAGTGCGCTGGATCTTGTGTATTGTATTATTTGGCCCCCAGCAGCACCCCCATTTATGCATGTTAAGGTGAGTGCAGCCAACCCCCTCTTGTTTTATATATATTTGGGAGTCTAGCCAACTCCTTGGTTTTGCACCCCTCCCTGTCACAGGTGCCTCATCCCAGGGCCCTATTTAGCCTTGTACTGCAGAGAGCCCCAGATGGAATTTCTTTCCCCAAGTAGGTTAATCTCATAAGAGCAGACATTAGGCTGTTAGTGTAGGACCTGCCAAAGATGGGGTACATTGACGTTGTGGCAGGCTTATGCACTGTATGATCATATAGTGTAACTAAACCCCCATTATTTTTGCCTAGATTAGGTGTTTTTAAAAAAACAAGTAAAATCTTTCAACATTGAAGTTGCTGTTTAGTGGATAGGTGAGTGCGCTGGATCTTGTATATTGTATTATTTGGCCCCCAGCAGCACCCCCATTTATGCATGTTAAGGTGAGTGCAGCCAACCCCCTCTTGTTTTGTATGTATGTATGTATGTATTATTATTATAATTATGTTATTATTTATATAGCGCCAACAAATTCCGTAGTGCTTTACAATGGGTGGATGAACACATGTAGTTGCAACAGGAACAGAAGGGTTGGACACACAGTTGGACACACAGGAACAGAAGGGTTGAGGGCCCTGCTCAATGAGCTTACATGCTAGAGGGAGTGGGGTAAAGTGACACAAAAGGTAAGGATAGTATTAGACTAAAGACAGTTGCAAGTGAGGAATCAGTCGGGAACTATTAACAGTTTAATTGATACGCTTTTATGAAGTGGTTCCCATGAAAAAACCCATGAAGTGGGTTTTTTTTTTTTTTTTTAATTCTTTATTTTTGTAGTGCAAGTTTAGAACAGCAAGCCCATGTTGCCACAACAGCAGTCACAGGCATAACATCAACATACAGTATCTGACATGGCAAGTGAGAGAACTGCACGGTTTTATAAATTGAAGCAGAAAAGGTCCGCACATTCTTTGTTTTGTTAAAGTAACTGAATAACATATGAGCTTGATATAGGTATGCTTGAATACAGTACTAACATGGTAACGTTAGAAGTAAACAGGTGTTGGTCGCTAAACTGAACATAAACTTCGCCTAATCTGGGCAAGTAAGGAGTTAGGGTGTAGTATCGCCCTGCTAGCCAGTGTGGTCTCCTAAGGCTATGTGCCTCAGCTCGCTGAGGTCAAGGACACAGCGACATGAGTGGTAGGGCTGTGAGTGGTAGGGTTAATCTGGGTAAGTGTAGCGAGCTCTTGGAAGCATGCCTCCCATACCCCTAGCGTAGCTATAGTTATAGTTAAGTGGCTAGACTGCGTGGGCTAGTGTGGATAGTAGGTATGCAATTGAGTTGAATGTGGTGGAGGACCCTGGGTGTTGTTCCAACTGATAGTCCCCGTGATCCGTAGCCGGAGCGAGAGTTCACACCTTTGTGTAGGTGAAAAAAGAAGAAAAACGTCCCAGTGAGCAGTCCCTGGCTCAGAGTCTCTGTTCAAGTGGTGGCTGTCGCATAGGGTTCCGCTGGTCTTTGCTTTGGCACAAATTCCGGTGCTCTAGCCGAGTGTGTCCCGAGGCTGCAGCTTGTGGGGCCTCTCTGCGCTGAAGCAGCTTCTAGAGTTGACAGTGGGAGGTTTAGCTTCTCTAATGCCTCTGCGGCCTCTTGTAGGTTCCGTGTCAGCACAGGGCCACTTGCGCTCTCTATGCTCAGGGTCCGGCCGGGTCCCCAGCGGTATCGGATCTTTTGCTGCCGTAGGAGAGAGGTGACCTGCCGGAGGGACCTTCTCCAGGACAGTGTGCCACTCGATAAATCCGCATAGAAAGAGAGGGACATTTCTTCAAAGGTGTATGTTGGCCTGCCCTTGATGGCCTCGAGTACTGCCCTTTTGTCTCTTGCTGTTTGAAAGCGGAGGATTATATCACTGGTAGCCGTTGGTGGGGCTGTAATCGGCTTTGGGATGCGAAAAATCTCATCCAGCAGGATCGTTCTTGCCACCTTTGGAGTCAGGAGCGCAGTTAGCAGTCGCCTGGTAAGGTGAGGGAGCTCTGCTTCAGGAATGGAGTCCGCGACCCCCCTTAGCTTCAGGTTATTTTGGCGTCTCCTATCTTCTTGGGTGGCCAATTGTTGTGTATGGAGTGTCGCTTGTTTTGTCAGGTCGCTTACCGCTGCTTGCAGTTCCGCAATCTGGCTTGTGTTTTCCACCGTTCCCAGCCGGGTGCACAGGCCTTGCAGGTCTTTCCGGATTGTTGCCACCTCCGTTGAAATTTTTTCATGGTGGGAGGCCATGAGTGCCGTGATAGCCTCCATGGTGACCGGCGTGTGGGTTGAGGCGGGTGGTCGAGATTTCTCAGGCAGCTGTGGTAAGCCAGTTGGTATGAGGCTCCCTTCTCCCTCATCGGATGTCTCATCCGAGAAGTCTGTACATCCTCCATGCAGGGACTCCATTGTTGTGCTCACGGCCTCTTGGGCCTGTCTCCACATGTCCCCGATGTTCATACCCTGACGGGGCTTGTCGGGCTTGGGCTTCTTCGTTTTTCTGCCCATTGTCGTCGGGTGTGTTAGGGGCACCTTGGGGTCCGTGGGGCCGTGTTGGGCTTCAATATCAGCAGATTTGTATAATTTTAGTCGGGAGCTCCTCGTCCATGCGACTATCCTTGTCCGTAGCTTAACTCCGCCCTCATGAAGTGGGTTTTTAATGATTTTTTGAAGCAGTGGAGACTGGGTGAGCATCTAACGGAGGAGGGAAGTGAGTTCCACAGGAACGGTGTAGCCCTCGAGAAGTCTTGAAGGCAAGCATCAGAGGTGGGAGTACAGACAGAAGATAGACGTAAGTCTTCAGCAGAGCGTAAGGGCCTAGATAGGACCTACTTGTGTATTAGATAGGATAGATAGATAGATGGAAGCAGCATTATGTAGAGATTTGAAAGCAAGAAACAGAATTTTAAATTGAGCCCTATATCTTACAGGAAGCCAATGTAGGGACTGACAGAAGGGTGAGGCGTGGGAGGTGCGGGCGGATGGGAAGATGAGCCTCGCCGCCGCATTCATTCTGGACTGTAACGGTGCAAGTTGGGAGCACGTAAGACCACTGATACATATGTATGTAAGTATTTATGTATGACTCTGTATGAATTAATGTATGCATGTCTCTGTATGAATGAATGAATGTATGTATGTCTCTCTCTATGTATGTATTTCTCTGTTTGAATGAACGAATGTATGTATGTCTCTGTATGTATGCATGTATGTATGTATGTATCTGTATGTATGTATGTATGTCTCTGTATGTTTGAATGTATGTATGTCTCTGTATGCATGTATGTTTCTATATGAATGTATGTATGTATGTCTCTGTATGTATGTATGTCTCTGTATCCCTATATGTATATATGTGTCTGTATGATGGTATGCCTCTGTATGCATGTATTTCAAAGATGTTTGTAGGAACCACACCCATACCCCAGCAGCCACCGATGCTCTGGAACAGGACCAGCAATCCCAATACGTCAAGGCAAAAAAATAAACTTCCAGGCACTCTAGTGTCAAAGCCACAGGCAGATCTCAATGGAACAGAAAGAGCAGCAACATTTCGACCTCCACAGAGGTTTTTTCAAGCTAACACCACAAACTAAACATAAGTGCATATATAGAGAGAAATGCCAAAAGAAATCAAACAATAATTCACTTAAGTGAAAGTCATTAACACAAATTAATAAGACAAAACAGTACAAATAATGCACAGTGTCTCTATAGATCTACTATATACAATAATCTATAGCTTACCCTTATGTGCCAAAGGAGGGAGAGGCCAAAATTAAAAAAATAGAAAAAATAAAAAGCTTACAATGAATAAACGCTTGTTTGAGAACTAGAAAGTAATTTCCGGTTAGTTGAACTGCAGAAGGGCTTCTGGAACGCAAAGGGACCGCCCCCTCTACAGATCCACATAGGTACCAAACCTAATATCAGTTTGTGTGTCCAAAGAACATACAGACATGCGCACGAACCCAATTGAGATAAGTGTCAGTTCGTATGCTAGAACACACGAAGGCACCCCGTGTAACTTGCACACATGCGCACGAACAAACTATAGATGAAAATGCGGAACGGCATTAACTGAAAGTGCGCACATGCGCACATGCGCACGAGCAAGTAA